GATCCAGGTAATTTGCTAGCTTTTCTGGATAGTTTAAGTGCTAGTGTAGCGATGTTCGGTATGCGTTTTGCACCTTCAAAGTATAAAATGCTGCACCAAGATTGGATTGGCCCAGTCCCCAATCTGGGGAAGTGGCAGAGGAAGTAGACAAGTTCTGCTATCTGGACGGCTATATCTCACCTGGCGTACGCATCACAAATGAAGTGTCGGGGCACATACAGAGCGCTCGATTGGCATTTGCCAACTTGAGACATCTGTGGCGCCGTCGCGACACCTGGCTGTTTGTGAACGGCTGAGTATATGCTGCAGTAGTTCGACCAGTTTTGCTTTACGGTGCAGAAACTTGGCCACTAAAGGAACAGGATAAAAATAGATTGTCGGTGTTCGAACACCGCTGCCTACGCAGTACTGCATGAGCAATGCTGAGGTTAGGTCGTAAAGCTTTAGGTTATCGCGGTCGTCCATTGGAGCAAGTGGTCCACCTTCGTAGATTACGCTGGTTGTGACATGTCCTGTGCATGTCACCAGATAGATTATCACGGCGAGCGATGTTTGCCGAGGCAGGTAACGGTTGGAAACAGGTGAAGGGTGGTCAAACTAAGACCTGGCATGAGGGTATGAAAACATTGACCAGGAGACTGGAATAGATTAGAGGACATGCAAACACCTCAGTCAGAATGCATAAAAGCAGAGCAGCTGTACTTTTCCAGTACAATCTCATGATAAAGTAATGCTATGATATTTCGAATTGCAAACTGTTGAGATGCACCGATCAGACTTACCCTAATCCGAGCACATGGATTGTATTTTTGCCAAGTATTTTCTCCGTTATCAGATGAGAACCGCTTTTCATCCATGGTGATGGCGTAGCGTGGTGGTGGTGGCGTAGTGGTTTAGTCGATGTCACCGGCGTGCTTTGGACCCTATGGTCCGAGGTTCGAGCCCCGCCACCGCCACCCGACTTTGGTGGTAGGCAGCTCTGCTGTCGCCCGATTCAATACCACGCCTAACCTATCGGGGCCTTATGTGGTTCGCCACTCCAAGTTCCGGGACTTAGGTTGCCGATTTCAACCACTGAACAGCAGGTCCTCGGGACTATGGGATTTACCCCGTCTGCTGTTCATCACACCTAGGTGTGTAATAAAAAAAATATTTATAACGATCAGTGAATACTGAAAACCGATACAACATAGACGGTATAGAAAATTGCAGATAGTTAAGTTGAAAATTTTGTTCGAACCTGTAACCGAATCGGTATATTTATTCACGAAATCGTCTGCCGTGATTTATACGTCTCCAGTATGATATGAAGCCAAGAAAGAGGGTAGAAGTGTACACTCTCCGCAACATCCAAACATTTACTGGAAGACGATTAAATTGAGAAGTACTGTAAGAGATCAGCTGGCATCGGACAGTGAAGTGATTTTTGACCCATCTTAGCCATCTTAAGAGCTCTTATGATCTCAGGTCATCACATGAGATCCCAATGGATCGAAGGAATTCTCAAACCAGATCGTGAATCGAATTTGTGACTTGGAGTAGACCACGGTAAATATTTCGAAAATGCAGTGATCTGAATTTGCTACCGTGCGTAGGTTCGAATCCCACCGAGGCTACTGAACTTTTAACAATCGACATACAAACTTCAAATCTGCCAATTAACTATTTGAACAATTCACCTTGTCTTAGAAGCTCATTCGGTGGAGTCCGGTGAATTCTAAGGAAAACCTGTCGAGGCAGTCAGCTTACATGGAACTGGTGATGCCACATGCCTGTGTAAGTTGGATGGGTAAATTGGAATGTGAAAAAGATCAGTGCTATAGGCGTGCCTCGTAGCTCAGCTGGTAGAGCATGCGCGTACAAAGCGTAGGCGGCGTCCATGCGTCGCCTCGTAGCTCAGCTGGTAGAGCATGCGCGTACAAAGCGTAGGCGGTGTCCATGCGTGCGTAGCTCAGCTGGTAGAGCATGCGCGTACAAAGCGTAGGCGGCGTCCATGCGTGGGTTCGAATCCCATCGAGGCTACTGAACTTTTCACAATCGACATACAAACTTCAAATCTACCAATTAACTATTGGAGGATATGACAACGAACCGACCGCAATGGCGTTCTTGTTATCATTTCTTATCAGGCCAGAATGCTTGAAACGGTGTGGATGCAGAGTTCTATTGTGTACTGTTTGTGTTGACCACAGTGGCTCACCTTCTCCCTCCCTCAGAGTAGGTCCAATCCCTGTCCACTAACGTTGTATGCATTGCGAGTTTGACAGCGATCAGTGAAGTTCGCTTCACTGTATTTCGTTGTACGATGATAATAATGATGTGCTACTAAGTAAAGATTCAGGTAGGTTGCAAGCTTTTCTGGATAGTTCGATTCCTAGGGTATCCATGTTCGTTATGCGGTTTGCACATCATCATCATCATCGATGCGAACTTCACTGATCGCTGCGAAGCTCACAATATACACAA